TAAATTAATCGATTTTTTTTTTTTTTTTTTTTTTTTTGCTTTTTTTGCTTTTTTTGTTTTAAATTACATCTATATGTTTATTATTTTATTTATTTATTTATTTTTATTTTTTATTTTTATTTTAACTTTATGAACCAGACTTCTAGCGAGTGAGTGATGATGATGAAGCTATTATAAACAGATAATAGGCGTGAGTATTTACAATCAATGCTAATTACCGAAATTTTTGTCGATCCTCTTAAACGTTACTTCTTTCTACCTATTTACAATGTTACAATGTTACAATCTTATTTCAAACAAATGTCAATTTATTCTTTATCAATTAATGGAATTCCACTTCTCCGATATTGCGCACTTATGTCGCATTTTTAATTTACTTTTTCCTTTTTTTTATCGAGAAAAATAGTATTTCAAACAATTGATTTAATGTAATTATTTTGCCGACGAAAATGTTAAATTTATTTCTATTTTTCACATAAGGAAACTCAACTATGTACACGCACACGGCAAATTCCATAAACATACGCAAGTTGATTATTCGCATATTATCGACGAATTTTTAATTTAACAATAACGAATAAATGAAATTAGTTTTGATAGACGATTCATGTAAATTATGAAGAAAAAAAAAATTTCAAAACAATAATTCATCTTTAGAGAAAGCACCTTGGTGATCTAATTGTGTCTGTAAAATAGTCTAAGAGCGCAAACGAGTTTCACTCGTTAGCCCCGAAAAAGCTCGAGTCTGAAGTATCTCTTGCTTATGCAGGTGACTCTCGAATGTCGAGACAAGGACGACAAGCCAACGACAATGCAGAAGAAAGTTCAGATAATTACCAACTGCTCCTGCAGCTCGTGCATGGAGTCATCTCGCATAAAGCCGGATCTGAATAGTCTGCTGCAGTCGCTGGAGCTCGAGTCTGGCCACGTTGGCAGTCCGTCTCATCAATCCCACTTGCAGCAGCTGCATCAGCAGTACCAGCAGATTCAGCACCAGCATCAGCATCAGCACCAGCATCAGCACCAGCATCAGCACCAGCACCAGCAGTCGGAGCAACGGGACTCTGGTAAGGAGTTGACATCTACCGACCAAACGGAGCACGTTTCCGACGTTCCCGGAGCTGGACACTGCTGAATCCGAACCTCAACGGCTCGAACAAGAGCTTGGGAAGTGGCAAGGCCAACGAAAGGTTTCTCCAGCTCTTTAAGCAGCTTAGTGGGCCAGGCTTAGGGACTGATAAGCTCGAAAAGTTCGCGAAGCTCGAAGGCCTTGAAAAATTGGAGAAACTTGAGAAATTAGGTATGACCTTGTAGTTACATTTATATTTGTATTTTAATTTTTTTATTTATTTATTTATTTATTTTATTTTATTTTTTTGTTGTTATTGTTCAATTTCTTCTTGATAACAGATTCGCGATAAATATTAAAATTCATTAATATAAGCATATTAGAGCTTGATATATTTTAATATATTTTGATCGATATATATATATATATATATATATATATATATATATATACATTGATGATGTTAATATTAATAAATAATGATGATGCTTGATGTCCCTATCTTGATTAATCATCGACTGACTAATGAAATTGCTCGAAGCTACAGAGTATGCGGGAGCAAAGGAACTGTTGGCGAAACTAAACGAGTTACTGCATAAATATAGCCAGGATGAGAAAACGGGCATCGAGTCACAATTGGACGATGAATCTAAAAGTTCACCGGATGATGAGCTCTTACAAATAGAGCCATCGTCGTCATCGTCATTGTTGTCATCGTCGTTGTCGTTGTCATCGTCATCGTCATCGTCATCGTCATCGTCATCGTCATCGTCATCGTCACCGTCATCTCCATCGTCGTCTTCATCGTCGTCTTTATCGTCGTCTTTATCGTCGTCGCCGTCGTTATCACCATCGTTGTCGCCGTTGCCGTCGTCGGCGTCCTCGTCGTCATCGTCGTCGTTGTCACCATCGTCGTCACTGTTGTCATCATCGTCGTCGTCGTCGCCATCGTCCTCGTCTTCGATGTTGTTGTCACCCTCTTCCTCCACATTATCGCCCGTATCAAGTCAAGACGCAGTCTCAATATCAACAATTCCCGAACTTCCAAAGGACGAAGACGACGAGGAGGTGCCATCTCTTCAGGATCAACAGTTGCGCGTCGCTGCCTCTCTATTACACCGTACAGGACCTCATCATTCCATGGTCCTTGATTCGGGCGTTAAAGAGAAGATCGACGTCGAGTCACATTATTTACACCCGGCCCTGGCTGGACAGGAGATCAGTTACCATGACAACATCCTGCTAGATAAAACGAAGAAAAAGGTTTTTTGAGGACTTGATACTCAAAATGTTAATGTATGCGTAATTTCAATTCATAGCTACAATTTAACGAAAAAATAATATTTTTATAATAATACGTATATTTGTTAGTACGAGCTTGTGTTTTTTCGGAATTAGAATAGATTTTTTAAAATTTCTATGTGGAAAAAAATATAAAAAGGCATTATTGCTTATTTAATGTTTCCACGTGATTTTTACACATTCTTTTATTAATAATTAAACGTCCAATAATAAAATGCAATTATTATGTAACTAAACCTGGACAGTACATTCATAATTTAAGAAAAATAAGTATCCTCATGAATTGTAATTAGACTATTTAATAATTAATAAAATATTAAAAGTGCTCTCCAAATAAATAATGATTATTCTAATAAGAGTATGAAAATTGACAAGAGATGTTTAAATTGAAAAGAGATAACCTATACTGTAAATTCAAATTGTGAAACCGCAATTTCACTATAATATAGTTATATAACGTTATATGTTCTTGTTAGATCAATTTAACAATAGAATAATTAGAAATCACACATTTATTCACAATGTTGAACCAAGTTTATTTTTAAAAGTTTTTTTCAATAAAAACTAACGTAACCCTAAACTGTATTTGAATAATTTTAATTTTCTAATGATTTACCATCATTTTCTATCAAATTTTCTAATATTATAAAAATTTTGTTATATTCATAATACACGTGTATCAAATACAAATTATATTCTAATTGCCTATAATAAATATTTTAAATTTTACAAACACAGGCATTACTTACATATTTCATTATAAATTGAAAATAATAAGAGAAATATTTTTATACAATAAATCAGTAATACATCACTCATCGTTAATCGATCGTACGATATTCGTTTCTTTTTCTTTTAAGACGAAAACTTTCGTAAAGTTTAATACAGTTTAAGATATAAAGAAAAATGTCAAGAAATAAATAGAAATTAATTAAAAATACAACGTAAAAATAAACTAATGATAATTTTTCTATACGTATAAATGAATATCAAAATGTGTTATCGGAATACTTATGCGTGAATTCATTCATGTATAGATAAAATATCTATTGAATCTAACATAAATTATAAATTTCTTTAATTAATTTTAGAAAATTGAATGTATTAATTACATTCGTAATTTTGCTTAACGTATAATTGCAAAATATTTAAATAAATGAACCGAATTAACTCAATAAAATGAACGCAATGAAAGAAAATAAATTCAATTTTCTATATATATAAAAAAAAAAAAAAAAAAAAAAAAAAAATTGTATAAACATATTATGATTGTCAATAAATATTGATAAAATATAGCGAGATGTTTATTTTAACTAGATTGTAAAAATTGTAAGAAATATTTCACTTTTAATTTGTTGTAATAATTCATTTATAATTTACTAATCCAAATATTAAAAGAAAATCCTAAATTTTATAGGATATATTTATAAAATGTATGTATTTAGAAAAATTAATTTAGGAATTTGTTAAAAACTAGATTACAAAGTCAAAGATGTTTTCAAAGATTTTTCCGCTTTAGTGTAATTGTCATTATAAGTTTTTCTTCTCAATATGTAATGTTAACAAACGTTTTACACGTTATTATTTACATTTTATATACGCGTAAAACAGATAACAAAATAGAGAGAAAAAATTAATATATTTCGTAAAATAAAAATTATAAAATGCCTTTATATATTAAAAATGTATAAATGTAATAATTATATTTAATAAATAAGCTGTTAAAGTTTCTCTTAAAGCAAGTTACAGCTGAACTATATTATAATGTATAATTAACATACTTTTATAATAAATAACAACCAAGGTACGCAAAGACGTAGATATAAATGTAATACTAGTGGTGACTCATTGTTGATTATTATTTACATAATAAATGACGATTTAAAGTTTTAACTATTTTGTTTTATACATTTATTGATTGTGCCATTTAAATTAATAAAATTTTATATATTTAATATGTATACAAAGGACTAATCGAATGATTGAATTAATGGTTTGATATACCAGTCTCATAATATTTAATGTAATTTTAATTACATTTTCTTCTTAACAATTAGCTATTTCATAAATAATTTCATATTTTTATATTATTTAAGATATCTAAGGTAAGACTAGTTAATTTTATATCTAGACAATTCAACTATAAATTGAATTATTAAGGTTTATCGTTTAAAAGTAAAACATATTAAGGAAAAAAAAAAATGAAAATTCTAATGTAATCATAATTTTCCTATATTTATAACCTAATAATAATATAATTGTTCATAAATCCTATAAGTAAGAAAAGATTTTGTTAGTTATTTGAAATTTAATTATTGAAATTGATTAAAAATTATAATTACAATAATTTATGAAATAAAAATTTATATTACGTAATCTATTCACTCATAAAATCTATATTTCATTGGTTTTTTTTCAGACTAAATTTTTATCAAATATAATATGATTTATTAAAATGTTTAAAACGGTTGATCCAACCGTTAAAAGTATAACAATATGTGTGCTCTTGCATTGTAAACAAAAACTTTAAAGGAGTTTTTCTTAATAATTTTTCTTTATTTATCATTGCAACGTCACATTCGAATAAAACTATATATTAACTTGAAAAAAAAAGTTCAAGTGTGTAAGAAATTTTTGTCGTTTTATTAAGTAAAATTCTGGCTAATCAACGGACTACGATGTGGCTATTGTTTAAATAAAATATTCGTAAGTAAACTACTTTTAACACGGCACTTTAAAATACATTTTTTATATATAAAGTTAATAGTTTTCAATGTATTCAATTTTTTTAAATTAAATTTTTTATTTGTTTCACCAATATGTGAATAATATCCGCAGAAACATTTGATAATAAATCATTTTATTAATATTATTAGGCGTGCACAAATAGATTTTTTTTTTTACATTTCTTGAAGTATATAATAATAATATATATATAAGTAAAATTATATATATATATATATATATGTACATCAGATTTTTTCATAATCGTGTTTGTTAGGTTGAAAACGATTTCCTAATATCTTTATGTCTAGAAATAATAAAGCAGTAATGAATTATACACTTAAAGATACTAAGTTGTAAATTAGTAAATTTACCGTTATGTAAAAGCTTGAATTTTATGACAGGAAGAAGATATATTAATTAAATCACGTTAATACATGTACGCTTAAAGTACACTCATTTTCGAGATTGTAATAGACTGTAATTGTCAGTGTAAAAAAAAACATTAGTCGTGCTACAATAAATATAATTATGACATTGTAATGTTGAAGGAGATCATGAATAGAGCATTTAAATAATAGCAATTAAAAGTGGGCAAATAAACATAAATTTATCGCTACGAGGAATAATGAAAATAAAATATTAAAATTGAATTTAAAAGGAGAACCATTAATATTTTGTACAATGAAGAGTTGCAAATTCGTCAAGAAATATGTATGTTGTTTAATTTAAATTTCTATAAATTATTTTTATAATTAATGTAGGCTATGATTTAATAAATTTTAACATTTGATTCTAAAATTAATTTTCAAATAATAATTCAAATATACTGAAAAAAAATCAGAAGTTTATAAGATATTAAAGAATTTAATTTAGTATGTACATAACATGTGAGTTTTTAGAAGTAATTTTATTAATATAATTTTATAGTAATTTCATTATTAAAGGTATTTAAGTTTAGATATATAGAATGTATGCTCAACAAGTATGCTTTACACAATACTGTAATAATAATAAATTAATATGTAAAAATAATTTATTTATTAGATTAGATTACTTTTTTCTTTCCATTAATATTTAATCAATAAGCTCCCTCAAGTTTAAATTATTTATGTTTCAAACACTCACTTTAGCATTATAATATATGCTGCTTTCAATCTATTCGTAGTTCGTATCTATATTTTTATTACCTCTCTCTCTCTCTCTCTCTCTCTCTCTCTCTCTCTCTCTTCGTCAATTCTATCTTTTTAGTCACTTTTCTTTTTACATCTTCAACAATTTCGTTTATCATCTTATGCACACGACACACCCGCGCACGTACAAGTACATTTACTTTTCTTCTCAGTGAAACTAATGTTGTCATAATTTGAGTGTTAATAATACTCCATTTATTCTCCTTCCTTTTTTATATCTTCTTTTAATAAGTTAATGTACATCGAGTCATTTATCAATTCTTATCGTCCTTATAGTGCTTTTCGTCGAGTATCTTTTATGACTGTTTTGATAAGAGTTTGTAAACCTCCGTATTTGTCGTTATCGCGTATAACTTGAGGCTCCGTCAACGAGCTTTTCGTCAACGAAATTTAGCATTTACATGAAGTAGCGGTAAGTCTACAATCGCATTGTTGAAATTTAAGAACTGTAGCTAATGTTTAATTCGACTAAATAAACTATGCCATTGAGGGATTGTCGAAATCAAATATTATTAAATATTATCGCAATCAAATATTACCAATAAACCATTCATTCTAAAATTTGTAGCGACTCATTTAGCGATCCTCTGCCGTAATTTCGAACATTTACCTTGGCGCCAATATCAATCAAAGCCGTAACCTTGACTCCTCTGAGACGACCTTATGGCTTGACTCCCGCTGTCACATTAAGTTTGATCGACGGACGGCAGACCACTCGTATGGCCTAATGCAAGCTGATTTTAAATATATGACTAAATTAATTAATTGTAGATGTATGACTTTGAGGTTTCATCCTTTTTTCCAATAATTTCCCTGCAGATAGCCTAGGCAAACGCAGTTGCATTCAGTTTCCGACCGCACATCTGTGGCCCTTTTTATATTCTTTCTCATGCTAGCTTTAACACGTATTTTTATTTCTTTTTTTCTTTTTTTTAATATACTTTGAGCTATTTTCTATTTAGCATGGTTATCAATTTTTTTAAGTTTTTCGCAATACGCTACCGACGGTGGTTTCCTTCACGACATTTCGTCGATACTTTACTCCTAACTAAGAATTGTATAATAATTTAATGAGTGTACAATTGAAATAAATTTCTATAGAATTAAATAAATT